TCCTCGGAAAGCGTACATCATGCAGTTTAGGAAATCTGAATACAAGTGTAACGACAGGTCGGGTTTATAGTTAACACGATAGTAAAAAATGAGTAACGGAATGCGTTTTAGACACGTTTTGTTCATAAAATCTAATTGAGTGTGTAATAGCATTGGATGCCAGTGAGAAAAATTTACGCTGCTTAAGAAGTCATAGTTTACAGCGTGTCATTCTTTTAGGCGGCCTCCAAAGGTAAATGATTTGTTATGGGAGTACGTCGCACAGCGATGAATATTTAAAACTTGCCAAAGTAATGTGTTCGACTCGAAATTGCATTTTAGAATGTTGGTTTACTTTTCATGAGTTAGCACAACAGCAGTTGTTTTCATTCTTTCAAAACAAGGTTTTCACATATTTGGCAGTCGGAAATCTTTAATTCGAGTGCAGATTGCGTTTTTGAAATAACGCTTGCTTTAATTACTGCTTTTGACGAAGATTTCGCCACGAAGTCAGACACACGACTAAACGAGTATTTTGCCATTCCGGCTTTTTAATTTCCATCTAATTTATTCGTAACCTGAGAGTTTATTAGCCCCAATTAAACTGCCAAAGGCCACAGCGGAAGTTGATATAAGTGTTTGGACTCAGTTCATTAGACTTAGGTGAATGACCGCATAATATTCGAAGAGCGCCAACAGGCAGCCGGTAGTAAAATGCATGTCACACTTAACAGCAAGGATGCAAGCTAAAAGCTAAAACATTGGTTGACCAATTCTTTCAAAAGTGATCGATTGTTAATTGCATCCAACGATGATTTTTCCCGCATTTTCTATTTTAAAATTCAGATGCCGGCAGTGGAACTGCGAACCCGCAAATTTTTTTAAAAAGCTCATGATATTTGTGTCATTTCTTTTACTTGCTACTTAGATCGGCACCGAGAATAAGCAGTCAGCTACAATATCGAGTTATTTGAAACATAGAAATGCCCAGTCGTATGTACTTATCTGACATTAAAACGAAGGCGGGTAAAATTCGAGACAAGTTGTTTGTGTGCACATTGTCGATGTTCGATGTATAAGTTCAAATGCTCCTTGACTTGGCCTGCTAAGAACTGGATTTTGTAGTCTTACCCCGCTAAATTAGACCTATCACTTAGTGCCCGGTTTTTTAAGTGCTCATGTTCACAAACTATGCGCCAAATGACAGCAAACGTCTTTTTACGGACCGAATGGACCGCAATGAATCTCCCGGCGCTACTAAGTGAAGTCGAGTAACCTACCCGCATGGTAGAAGATATTTTTGAGCCGGGCACTTGATCCAGTGCATTTGCGGAAAATGTGATTATGTAGACGAAGGTCCGTAGCGGCTTTGGACGTGGATAGTCAAACATGCAGTCACAATAACGTTGGCAAGGTATGACACCAGCTCCAACTCAGCGACCCATTTGATACAACCCGTCCTCACCTCAAAGTTCGAATGGGATGACATATTTTTAGAGCTGATAACTGCATGAGCTGTGGTGTGGTTAATTTACAGTCCCCTGGCCCAGTCCCCATATTCTGGGGTTAGAATGCCTGAGCAGAATGATTACTTAGAGGGAAATGCGCAAACGGACATTTTTCCCATCGCCAGTATGAATGGTCTTAATTACTAATAATCACTACCGTTGATGAGCATGTGGCACTTATTTGTTCGACAATAATTATAAAGTCGTCGCATCAAGTTACATCGCCTGTGATGAACGCGCGGTTTAAATATGAACTGTAGCACAAAAATAATGCAACGTTTCTCTACCTACTACTATCATCTGATCCAACGCATGATTGTTTTATCGAGTGTAAACACGATACGTTTGACGAAAAAGAAATTTTTTTTAATTTAATCCCTGGTTTTTGCATATTCGCTTGCAATTCCCTACAATTTCCAAAACCAAGTTTCTTTTTCAATGAAAAATCTGGTCACGATCAGGTTTACCTTACCACATCCCCTACCTGACTGGTGTGAACCAGCATCTGCTAACTGAATTTTTATGACACTTTTTCTGGCAACGGTGTTACGGATCCGAAGTATAGGCCTTTTAATGCAGATGAAACTTATGCAAAAACGTAGGAGACGCTCCGAGAGCTTCAAATTCAGTTATTCCAAGATTTACAACTCGGCAAGTCAGCGTGCGCACATGTAGAAAAATAAAAAAAACAACTTCAAGGTTTACAGATATTTTCAGACTGAAGGCATAAACTGTTATGCAAAGCGGTTAAGAGAGACTTAAAATACTGTGACCTTTTGAGAGCGCTACATCTAGAACAATTTCAACGAAAGATACGACGTATGGATGATAAGTTACGCTGCCATTACCACTTTAGCCCAGCCAACTGACTTGAAAGCTCGGGAGTACCAGGAATAAAATTCGGGATCACGCCGTTGAGACGGTGCGCAGACTTTGCAACGGATTACTGGCAATGTGGTCGGCTATTATAACCGGCTGCCATCGCGACCAATAGAGTTGCAACGAAATATTCAGTTTAGAGAAAGAACTGACTACAATGCTCGGTGCCTATTTCAGGAGTGGGCTGACAGGTTTCGTTGCTTCCGGGTTTTGCTTGTACTATTCTGAGATTTTCTCATGTTTGTAATATAACTTTAATTATCTAGCTTTTTTCGGCGAAGTAAAGCCATTGTCCTGTATAAAGCTCGGTTTTCTTCGACGTTAATGTCTGGCTTTGTCTGTTTCCGTGTGTATGTGTGTTCGCACAAACAAACAAGCCGCGCATAGAACACTTGATATTCACTTTTAGGTCGACGTTGGCTGAGTCTCCGTGTGAAGAGTTCTAACATCTTGTGTGCCGATTAACTTGAAGGCAGGTAGGAACTACTAGATGACGTCAACTACGACTCAAAGAATTAGATATTTAGCGGGCTTAGGTATTCCGCCCTTATCTGATTACTATCCTAGCTACTTTGTAATTTCACCGACCGTCACCAAACTAAGCATGACTGTTCTATTAAACTACAGGCTAATTCTGTGCCTTCATAAATAATACGGGCCTAATAAAAATTACCATAATGCAAAGTTTAATTTAGCATAAAATAAATGCTAAATGTAACGTTAGTTTGTTTAAAAACATAATTTTTTTAAAAAAATTAAACTATAAGTAAACTCCTAAACGATTGAACCTTATTTAACTAAACTTGTTCAAGGTATCGAAAACTCGTCTATTCAAAAAAAACAACTCAAAATTACTAAACAAAACTTTAGTTCAATTTGCATTTAGATTTTGTCCATGAGCTTTATATATTTTGCTTAACCGACACCCTACGTTCTTACTATGGTCCTTAAAATGGTTTTTCGAGAATCCGTAGTATTCTTTATGCTATTTAATTGATTTAGATGCGTTTCAGTTAAGCGAATTTGATTTTTCTTTGATTTCGCAGATACGAGCTTTAAAAGAACAAAAGATATTACTGGCGCTTGTTGGCAGTCCCCTTCTGGGCTAGTACATTTAAATATAGTTGACCGATACAATCGTTAACATACCCTTTTATGTAACTAAGGAGGGGACTTCTTGATAAAACTAATTCTCATTTCTCCTTTTTTCTGATGTACAATGACTTTTAGATCAGCCTCAAAATTTGCCTGAATGCTTCATGATTTTAAGTGTTTTCAATCGACTACCCGTAAAGAAAGTCTATGTGTTATATGTCTATTGAAGCTTTCAAAATAGGATACCTCGTGAACACATCTTCCAGCATTGCAAGTGTTTGGGTGTTCTTTTGGGTGTAAATATTCATTTGAGTCACATTGGAAGACTAAGCCAAACACTGAACACCATTGTTGAGTCGCCTAAACGTTCACAACAAAAGCCAACAGCGAATATTCCTTTGATCGGTGAAAACATCCTTTATGTAATTTTCCTTTTCCATGGAGCTTTAATTCTGCATTACATTTGTACACTGTACGTAAAAGAGTTGTGGTTTATTTGTGTTTTTCTTTCTTCTTGCCAAAATACCAATGTTTCCTATCGCAAAATTATTAAAATGCCTTTCTCTTTATAATGCTCACAATGCTTTCGTTTACGCCGCGTTCTGCGATTATGGATATACGGCTGAAACTGCTAATTTTTGCTCGGTTTATTTCTGTATTGCGTGTTTCCAGAATTTGGACCTCCTAAAATGATGTTCCATTTCTTCGAAAGTGAAAATGACATTTCAATGATGATCACTTTGGTGACAAAACATGGAGGTTCCTAAGCGGCAAAACAATTTCGGCCCATTTGAACAAAAAATTGGCTGCGTCTGTTACCGCTGCACTTAAGGGTCAGGAATCACTCGTATCTCACAATCGGACTGCTACTTATCGCGAAAACATCTGGTCCGCTCAAAATAATCCTTGTTGGAAAGCTGATTTTCACGGTTAACATCGTTCTAAAATAACTTTTTAATTGCGATAGGGTCTGTTTTTTTAAAACTGTCGAGACCAGATTACTTGCCTGTCATATAAAAATCCCGCTCAAATGTACAAACTAAGCCTATGACATGTATAAGCATAAGACGTCGTCCGAATATATCGTAAATTTAAAAACATTGTGCCTGCTAAAATTCTGAGGACACACTTTCTGCAAAATGCGCAACGTCCGAGACGCCGAATGTTTTCTTATTAGTTGTTGCCATTAGGTTTCATAACGTACTGTACATTATAAACGAGTAAAAGACGCAAATTCGGGAACCATGGTTGTATTCTCTTGACGCTTCAAAAGCAAACTAGCTCCATCGTCGGTGATTATCGTACAGTGTCGCACAGTATTTGGCCATGTTAACACGGCGTTAATTATACGGCTTTATTTCAACAGTAAAGGTGGGGACAACTTTAATCGGCTTTGGCGTTCCTCGCTCGTATACGCGGAAAGGGATCGTCTCTGTAGTCGACGAGGCAGAGCGGGACGAAGGATGACTGCTGTCAATCTGCGTTTGAAAATTATTGGCCGCCATCGGCATTCCAGTTGGCTTTAGTCATCGTTCCGAGTCAGTAGTATTGTTTGCGTCCCCCTGACCACATTTCTTCCCGTCTGCCGGAGTAGTGATGGAAGCAACAAGACAGGACTGGGATACTTTCCAATAATGCTACACAATAATCATTCTTGATACTTGGTGGTGGTGGTGCCAGTGGTGGTGGTGGTGGTGTTGGTGGTGGTGGTGGTGGTGGTGGTGGTGGTGGTGGTGGTGGTGGTGGTGGTGGTGGTGGTGGTGGTGAGTCAGCATTGCGGTGTGCGTGTCCATTGAAGGCAGCAGACACCATCCTTCACCCTTTAGGACGCAGCCACAGAGATGCTTCCTGTGCATATACGGGCGGTGAGCACCAAAGTCGACCAAACACCCCCCCGCGTACATTACCGAGATAGCCCTGTATACGTACAGCCGCGGTAACATGATCGTCACTCCTTTATAAATACCGTGTGGCGCGATACGTTACCTACTCCAACAATGGAAGCCTGTTTGTTTTTGAAGTTTCAGGGCAGCATAAATGTGGTTCTTGAGCTTATCTTTGAATGCCATATAAGTACTACTATGACCAATTGCCTAATCTGAGTTTACCTTTATTCCACAGCCTATAACTAGGAAATGCCATTACCCTATCTGGAAATGTCCTTAGTATGTGCAACAAAAGCTTAATAACATATGTTTTTGTGGAACAGTCTCATTTTTATTTAGCAAGTCAACTTCAGCTTGAAATCGTCTGGGTTGAAAAGTATATGGTCCAAATAAATTGATATTCATAATCTAGCATAAAATTTGTATTCGTAAGCCTGTTCCGGTAATGAGAGAATTCGCGAAGCACATTGTTATGTGGTCATTTAAAATACATCTTTGTATTGTTTTCTCTCGTTTTAGTTTATTAGTAAAATACATGTCTAGTCGCAGGTCCAACTTAATGCGATATGCTCCTTTTACGCTGTGCTATAAATGCAAGTTGACTTTGTTGGACTTCGTTTAAGACCTACTAGAAGTGTAAACCCACCGCACTTGTTAAAACAATGCAACCAAGGGCTTTCCAACCAACTGAACATACGTATGTATCAAAGCGCTAATACTTGAAACGGCATCTTTACGGATGAAGTTCAGTTATTTGAAGTTTTTCGTTGTCAACCTATAATGCAGCGCAAAATAAGGATTAAATTCAAATAGTACATTAAGACTGCTTGCAATGCGTACATTTAAATCCCAGAAAATATCCAAAGGCGCTTTCAAATTTCAATGGAAAATATCAATTTTCTTATTAAATAAAATCTTTTAACCATGTAATTTGACATAATTGCATATAATGGCATGTAGCGAAATCTGAAAAGCAAAAATGGATGTTTATTTTATAACTGCTGTTAAGCCGGAGGCAAACTCTAAAAGGTGAAATTTTATCCATTCTTCATTCGCTTATCATTTGGCTTATCTGGCGACATTATTTATTATCGAACCAAATTCGGAATAATCTTTGCAGTCGATTTTTCGTGTTATGTAACAGCACCCCCGTCCTGCCAAGACCAGAACACTTTCGATTTAACTAAAATATCACGACATCTTGGCAGCGCAAATAATGCTGTGTCCTCAGAGGCTTTTGATTTATCTATGAAGCCAATCACACAACGTGGCTCTATCTTTGCAAACAGTTTTGATTATGAACATCAGCAAATGAAGCCGCCTCAAATGAGCCATTCCGAACATCCGCATAATATGTTAATTAATTTTACATTTCTTAATTACCTCGAATGACGTCAGATTCATGAATTTACTGAAATCTGTTTTATGGCATTATATAGTCAATTTAATGTTGTAAATTTCATCATCCAACACAAACGTACAGGACGCACTTTCTGCAACTTGCGTTGGTGCATTTGTCAAAACCGATAGCTGAAACGCTTAATTCATTTCAAACCCAAATTTTATCTGCAGAAAACCATATACAGGCTTCGCGCGCATTACTGTTTGTAAAATAATTTTGTTGCACAACAAACTGAAATTAACGTTCGTTGGCATAATAACTCGGGCAATTTACAGTTTTTCAAAATGGCGCAACATCGTTAGCTTATCCCGCAGTAGAAAAATCAAAAGTCGCCGTATCTTATATTTGCCCATTGCTTCAGACAAACGTATACATGATTGTTAAAATGATTACTACTCCTTCACACATAATTTTGTCATTCATTATCTCCCGAGGGAATTTCCCGTACTTTTTAATTTACAGTTGAGCAGGTTAACCCTCCTAATCAGCTTTGGCTAGAGTCTGTTCTTTCATAAAATATTAATATCTTGTAGGCGCGCGTCTTACCAAATTTAGAACAGTGTAGAAATTATTGTCGAGTCTACCTCTGTTATTTTTCCGCGGAGATTTAATTTCTGAATAGGCAAGTCCCAAAGTCTGTGTCTGATACAATGAAATGTTAGCCGCAATTCTGAACAGCGTTTTTAGGTAGGCAGGATTACAGAGGAAGGATTATATTATCAATTATTTTTAGACACATCCCTGTACAATTTTCAGTTTTTGCATTAATTTATGATGGACATATAAATACAAGTATCTTTTATAGAACAAGATGCCTTTGGTTGATTTGGGGATTAATTATGCTTCTTCGCGTTTGGTATTCAAAATAGTACTTCTTTGCTTTCAAATGTTTCTAATTATATGGTTGTTAAGTCTAGGTAATTTCCATTCGCAAACAATCGTACCTATCCATTTATGAACGATTTACGTGAAGTAAACACAGTTCGCACCATTACAAAACATGTATTTTTTTCTCTAAGTCATGGATGTCCATATGTCTCTTATCGCGAAAACAGTATACATCTTGTAGAATGAAAACTTAAGATGCAATTGCAATGGATGAGCTGCCCAGAAACTATTCAGTTATTTGAAAATTTCTTTGAAAGCTTAAAAATCATTTCTTTGTGTAAAACATGTAAAATAGACATGCTTTTCTATTAAGTGGGCAAACAACACATGATTTCTTGCATGCGTTTTATATAATGTATTCGAATATATATATATATATATAATGTTATTGGGCGCTCACCAAAAGGGCTCTCTCTCGAGCCCAACCAGCAGCCGCGCAGCGGCGCATGACATATAGGCAGAATGATATTACCGACAAAGACAAGGGAGACTGGAATGGCCATTTCTGGCTAATTAACCGTCGTCAGCCAGCCATACCCATATATAAAGATATTGGCTGCTTATGTTAAAAGCACATAGGTGTCCACTGTGTCGTTTGCGGACATTACAGGAAGTCAAAAAGTGCACATAAAAGCTACACTATAATGGGTTGGAAACATTATGATATTATATCTCCTGACAATGTGATATTACGACCTCAACCAGGTAATCCTTCTTAAGCCGAAAAGCATTATTAAATTTTGGCTAACAATTTATCCGATCTCATTGTAAAAATAGTGCACATCCCTGCATCATAATATAATCCCTGCTTTGCTCAGAAAATGTACCAACGAAATCCATCCTTTTAATTTTTTTAGGATTGTATAATTTTGAGAATTTCGGCCGATATAAAGTCCAGTTATAATTCAAACAAAACGCTCAAAGCCTTATGTTACTGAGATCAAAAGTACCTTTAAAACAGTTCATTTTATGTTTTAACTAAAAACTGTGTAAAACGTACAATAAAAGCTACGACTTTCGCGACTAAGTTAAGAAGAGAGACATGCGATGAATTAAGAGAAATTTTATTTGTCTGACGTCTCGGTTTCTCACTCGAACGGAAATTGTTGTATCATGTTTCCTCTCTTATGAAGGCCAATAATCATTTCTATCAAATGCAAGATTGAATGTTCTATGTGAAAACAGCTGCAAACTTTGCGGCATTTATTGCTAACTAGGAATTTTTTAGACACGAACAGGAACTTTTTGACACGGTCTCCTTAGGTCGATCAATTTAGCTGTGTTCAGAGATCTTGCTTATTTGCATTGAAGGGGTCATTACTGTACCCAGACAACTGCGAGTGCTGTGGTTCAATCGTAACTTTTTAATTATTCATCCTTCCCCTTTGCAGGCCTTCGGGTTTGGACTTCATGAAGTTCTAGTCAACTGGATATTTTTACCCTGTCTTAAGTCGTGCGGTTATGATAGAGACCGGACGTAAACGCGTTTCTTTACAATTTCTTGTCAATTTTAAATTATGTTCAAGGACATTTGTCCAGACTGTAGTCGACTGTTTCGCAATCTGAGGGTCTGACTAGGAAGAAAACAGTTAGATGAAGTCGAAAAGAATTCAGATTCTGGGTGACCGGCTCTGATCTCTCAGTTGCCATCAGTTAGCAGAGAGTTAAGGCCGGACACTAGCGCACTGAAGGCAGGCTTTCGGCCCTAGTGAAACATTGAGTGAAATTCAATACGCAAACAACATTGGAAGCTGGCATGTTCGCGCTTAATTGTATTATTACTATCAGCCATACTTCAGCTATGGGTTACGACTACCCAAGGCTGGACAAAGGACTTAGTTAGCCATTGAGCTAAGCCATCTGCTGGGTAAGTAGTTCTTTTCATATGCAAAGAAACATTACAGATTTCTCATCATTACATTTATGTGCAAACTTCTTCTGCATTGCATTTCACATCGGATGTGAGTTTTCAGTAATGCTTAAAACGTCTGCGTCCAAGTGCGTATTCCTCCCTGAAATATTAGGACACAGATGAAAGGTCCGAATGCATCTGCAGTGATCCCCAGAAAATACTTTGTTTCATTTACTTCGTTCCACATTTTAACTACGTCAAAAGATCCAAATAAAATGAACGCCTAGTGTTTAAATTAGAATTCGGCTTAAAGGACGCCGTTGAGAGTTGCACTTTGACCGATGTCATCATAAAGTGCGCTTCCTAAATATAGTTACAAACAAAAAGGACATAGAAATATTTGGATGTCAGTATTTTTCTGTCTACGTGTCACTGTTAGACTTTTATGTTAGTCCGCCTCTAAGGAATAGTATAACGTTTAATGACATTTCGCCTATTGAAACAAAACCGTCCTTTTTCACAAAATATCCTATGGTGATTGTGTCGGCTTTCAAAAATCGCAGATTTTATTTTCGCACTACTGTTATTTTTGACATGTCATTCAAACAAGCAGTCGTTGTATTATTGCACAAGAAGATTACTGAATATTAACGCCGGTAGTCCAGAGGGAACGGACTACTTGATACATAGTTTTCTGTCAAAAACTCTAACTTCATAAAAATGAAAATATCATCGTTGCCTGCACAACTATAGCCCGTCTGTTGTAAGACCAATTGTAACACAA